AGCCAGAGTGGACTTGGGCCTGAGACTCACACAGAGAAACAGATCTGTTTATAAGTAGCAGACCTTGGGCTGGGGCCAGTCAGCCTCGAGTACTCAGTAACATCAATGTTTCAGCGACCTGATGTTTATAAAACTACAGAGGGCAGGGCACAGAGGCACACATCTATAATCCTAGCACGAGTTCAAGGCCAGCCTAAACTACATGGCGAAACCCCATCTCAAAACAAGAGAAAGAAAAAGAAAAGAAAACTGGGCTGGGGACTTAGCTCAGTGGTTCCACCATCGCAAGCGCAAGGACCCAAGTTCGATCCCCCGTACCAAAAAAAAAAAAAAGAAAACTGAAGCAGGGAGAGAAACTTAACAAAATCAAGCAGAGTTCCAACTCTACTCAATGAACCCTCTTTCACTAGCCTCAGGGCCACAGCACTTGTGATGACACCACAACGCTCACAGGAATACACGAGCACCTGCACTACTAGATGCAGCTGCTGTCCTACGAGCCATCGTTTCTTCTGCCAGCTCCTCAACCACAGGCAAGAGACGAACTCACGCAGCCTGGGCCCCAGTCAGAAGGCGGAGACATCACCGAGACCCTGGCTGTCAGTCTGGAGCCCCCAACCCCACGGCACAGATCCGGACCAGGGAGCAGCCGCCCAGAATCAGCTCTGCCAGTTTCAAACACAGACTAAAATAAAAGCCAGGAGCCAGCAAGGCTCCAGAAAGCAAATGCTAGACAAAACACAAACCTCTTCTTAGAAAAAGACATTCCTCTTTGCTTATAAAGGCAAGTTCTAGATCACTTCTCTACAGCCAAGTTTCCATAACCCCCTAAGACTCAGACAAAGAACAAACTGGGTCACTATACAAAAGCTCCAAGGCCTACAAGCAGAGGGTAAGCTCAGGATTAAGTCTGCTACAAGCCCCAGAAAGCCTGTCACGTCCATGATAAGCACTACAGCATTAACTGCATTGTTCAAAACGTTTCAGGACACAGGCATTAACCTACCTTCTCGCCCTTTCCCAGTGCTACCACCAAGTGCAGACTCTCCGTTAGCAGAAACCCACCCCATCATTCCCAACCAGCTCCTCCCGCTCTCCCCCACCTTGTTACCTGGTAGACAAAGCAAATGGTAGGTGCTTGACAACCATACAGGAACTTGACATCAATGACATGCAATTCCTCCAGGCGAATGTTGAAGGCCTTGAGCTCTTTGTTGTCCCGATCTAGCGGAATAACCTTGAAAAGGCCATCGTAGAGTCGCAGGCCGATCATCCGGCACTCAGGGTCAATGATACCAATAATGCCAGTCTCTGAAGGGCGGCCAATCCGGTCCTGAGAAACAAAATGGGGATTAGGAAGGAGGCTCGACACCCACACGCTAACAGAGGACACTTTCCTGGGATGATTTTAGGAGAGGTGGTGAACTGGTGACACCTGCCTGCCGTGCCAGGAAGCCCACACATCTGCATGCACATCCCGCGCAACACTGAAGCTCAGTGACTGTGTGTGCCTTCCACTTGCTTCTCTGATCACGCTGAGGCTGCCCTGACACCCTGTGCTCTTCGCTGGACCACTGAGTCACTTCGCCCTTCCTGGGAAAGCCTCAACCTGAGCAGCTGCCTCACCTGGACATTGCCATGGGCTCGTGTGATGATGTCGATGCTCTCACCACTCTGCTTATACTCCAGGATGCAGGCGTTGTACTTAGCTGTCAGGATAAACAGCAAGTCCTTGCTCTCCCCCTGAAAACCAAAATTATGCCATCAAGAGGTTCTTGCAGAAACAGGAACAACCTGTCCTGCCTTAAACGATCATTCCTTGAGCGCGCTAAGCTCTTTAAGAACATTCCCAATACTTCTTTCTCTACTAAAAGAGAAAATACACTAGCTATGAGTTGTCCCAGCCACACACATGCCCTCAGGGAATGTACTAAAGGCCAGAACTAAAGCTGGTAAACAGCTAGTCCTCACTCTGACTCTCTGGCTCTCGGCTCTAAATACACTGTCTTCGCCTATTTTGATCAAGCTAATCTCAATCTTGTCATTCAAATTCTGAAAGATGAATCTAATGCCTGTCCCCTTCCTCTCCAAGTATTTAGAGAAAGGAAAAAATGTGGTAATAACAATGAAAGCTACGATGGATCTTCAAAGTCTTACTTATTTAACATAGACCTCACAAACATGAGTGTTTTGTTGAAAGAGTTATAATTAAACAGTTGAACCCAATGCTTTTTTGTTAGATACATTTAAGATACAATAAAGCAATGTGGGAGTCAACTGGACAAACATTTGAGTTATCATGATAAATGCTGGTGATGGAAACTGTTAACAGTGAATACCCGTTATTACCAGGTTATATTACTGAGTCATTTAATCTTCACAAGAACTAAAGGGGATTAGACACTCTTATTCCCACTTTGTAGATGGAGAAATCAAGGCTCTGAAAGGTGTCATAAGTGACAACTAAAGCGACACCTAATGTGAGAATTAATAAGGAATGAAAAAAAAAGGAATGAAGCAAAGACTACCCCATTTGCTACCCGCTCAGTCACTAGGCAATACGGTGACCCACATTTCCAACTGCTGTCATTCTTCTTCTCAGAAAAGTCAACTTGACAGAATTTCCCCTAGGAAATCTTTTCTACTTGTCAAGGTTTGTTTAGGAAGAGTAGGTGCAGAAATCTGCCACTCAAAAAGAGGAGTGAAGGGCTGGGTATTTAGCTCAGTGGTTCCACCGCCAAAGATGGAAAGGGCAAGGACCTGAGTTTGATCCCCGGTACCAAAAAAAAAAAAAAAAAAGGAGCAAATTCCTCTAAGCCTTATGCCATCCACCCATCCTAAGCGATCATGTAAAGCAACCTATGACCAACAACTGTCCCAGTGGGGGACACTTACTTACCTTGGGCCTGAAAAGCTCCATGACAGCAATCTTCCCATACATGCCCACCTCTTTGACTGGCCGAAGCCCCTCGGCAGTGACCACATAGATCTCTAATCTTGTGTTTTTGGCAATCAACAGGTTCAAGTCTTCCGCTGAAGTAAAGTGTCCTGAAAGAATAGATCCTCTAACTTTTCGGGGTGGGGGGGGTTGAGGCAGGGTTTTCCTTTGTAGTTCAGGGTGGCCCTGAACTCACTATGTAGCCCAGGCTGGCCTCGAACTCCCAGCTATCCTCCTGAGTGCTGGGATTACCGGAATGCGCCACCACACCCAGCTAGATCCTCTAACTTTTAAAGCTGGAGGAAAGGCCCTGCAAGCCCTTATATATCAATCCTACCACTGCCTACCTAATTAACTCCAGAATTCTCATCTACTTCAGATTTCCCTGACTCCCTCCATTTATTCCTTCTTGCAAATCCAGCACCTCGAAGGGTCTCCATGCATTCAACAGAGCTGCTTCCATAGTCAGATTGAGAAAACTGGACTGGAGGCCTAAGAGCAGTGTGTCCTTTGACAAACGACTGTGAAAGCCTTAAAGATGACCCTGTTAAATCTTACTCTCCTACCACTGTATAGTAGGGAGCATAACTGAGGATGGTACAGGAATTGTTCACGTCTTCCAGTCCTCATCCAAAGCCTCACAAGAACACCTCTGCCAAACAGGCCAGGTCAAAGGAAGAAATTCCGTTTTCCATACTTCCTCCACACCTCTTCCCCTCCCGGCAATCTACCTCTACCATTCTAAGCCTCCCACAGGTCCCTGAACAACAGACTTCCGTTCTGCAATCACGATTAGGATTTACATAAACACAAAGGTTTGGGGGCTGCATAACCAGCTGAGAATGTGAGTTCAGGATGAATACTCGCCAGTTTGGGGCGTCTATGTCCTTAATGATGCTCCCACATGATCAACAAGGCAAACCCAGCAAAGACCGGGCTAAAAACCCAGTCCTCCCGGTAAACAACAGCCCCAGGGGAAGGGTGGGTCTGGAAAGGGCTCCAGTCCCTGCTAAGCGCAGGCTGGCAAGGCTCCCATTCCTCCACGTCCTTGTCCCCCACCCCGGCTCCCCGACCTTAAATTCTGATCGCAAAGGTGCCATCGCCACCGTCTCTTCCCCTGACCACAGGCCAATCTCGGGGCTCAAACAGCAGACACTACACACACAGCTCACACTCGCGCGGGGTCCCACGGGCCGCCCGGCCCCGGAGGCCAAGGGACCTCCTAGGACGAAGGGGACCCGCGGGAGCAGCTCCTCGGGCCCCTCGCGGACGCTGGGGCCACTCCCTGGAGGTCGCGGGCCGGGGAGGCTGCGGGCCGCGCGCCCACATGCTGGCCCGGTTCTCCCGCCGCCCAGATTCGCGGGCCTCCCTAGGCCTCGGTCCCTCCTGCTCCCGTTCTCCAGGGTCCCCGACTGCCTCACCGGTCACGCAGCCATTGACGGCGGTGGGCTTCTGCGCCGTCACGACGTAATTGTACGACATGTCGAGGCCTGGGGCGGCCCGGCGGGACCGAGAGCGACGATCGAGGGATGGACACCGCGGAGAGACCGGGAGCCCCCGCCCGCGCGAAGCCAACTCCTCCCCGAGACACGTTGCAGGCCAGAGCGGCCGGCGCGGGGCATCACGGGACGACCTCCCGGGCCTCCGGGAGGACTCGCGGAGCCGGAGGCGGCCAACCAAGGGAGGCCCCACCCCCCGACGCCCCGCCCCCGGTGTCCGAGGTCCCGGATGAGAGCGCGCCTTTCGGGTTCTCCAGTAGCGGAGCAAGAGGCGAGAGCGGGTGGGGTCCCCGGCCGCCTTCCTAGCTTACCTTCCCTCCTGGTGCGCGTCCCCAGCCCGCCCTGAGCCCCCCGACTCTGCCCCTCCATCGCTCCAAGAACCCTCGGAGCTGTTTCCCCGAAACCGGAAGGACCTCAGAGTAGTGGGGCGCGAGGCGACAGCGTGTGTCCGACCCGGGCTGACCGGCCTCTGCACCCTCCGGTGCTTCCGCCTGGCCCCTCTTCGCCGGTTATTCGTAAGGGCCTGGCATTATCAGCGCCCCCACTGCGGCACAGATCCCAACCCCAGACCCTGGGTTTGGCTGGTGGGGACTTTGGTGACCCTAAAGGCCCTTCAGGTTCAGCCACGCATCCGCTGTGCAGGATGCTGGCAGGAGCTTGCTCCTGCTTTACAAATGAAGCTGGGGCTCAGGGGACTGGGTTTACTAAAGGCCCCGCATAAGTCCAGGTAGCGCTAGTGCAGAGCCAGGGCTGGGTTGTACACGCGTGTGCGTGCACACACACATATGAGTGGGGTTTACACCTCGGGTTCCCACAGCAGGACTGCCTGACTGGGAGCACTGCATTATCAGCAGAAAGAGCATAGGCTTTGGAGAAGGACTGGATGGGGGTCTGAGTCCTGTCTCACCAGGTTGACCCTGGACGATCCCTGGGGTACTGAGTGTTTCCCAGAAGTAAGACAACAAAGGGCAACAAAGGTGGCTCCTTCCTGGTGTGGGGCCAGGGCCAACAACAGAAAGTGTGTGGAGACCTTTGTAACTCCCTTGCTGCAAGAGAGGCCTGTATAAGATGAAGTTACACGTGGCTGGCGTTGCCCCCGATTGTGAACTGGGTGCTGTTGCTGGGCATAGGGCAGCCCTGTGCCCAACACGGATCGATCGGCCCGCTGTCAGCCAGATGCAGGTGTGAACCTTGGTCAGCCGCACGCTGCTTTCCATCCCTAGCCCACGTACTAGAGTTTGGACTGGGATCAAAGTCTGGGGCAGCTCCCTGATCCCCCAGGCACTGGAGGTTCAACTGCCAGTGTGCTTCCAGCCTTCAGTGGCTCCAATCGTCCCCCCCTGCAGGTACGGCTGCCAGCTCAGCTGTGCTCAGACCAGGTAGCACCCACAGGTCTGCCCGCCCGTAGCAGCTCCGTGCAGAGGGAGAAGCATTTTGCATCGCCATGGTGAGTCCTGGGGTCAGGGCAGGGGAGGACACGTGGTCTTGAAGCAGTGGACACCCCCACCTGGGGCTCCAGGAGTCCGTTACACCTGACCAGCAGCTGCTGCCTCCTGACGTTCAGAGGTTGATAGAGAGGCTCACCCCCACTCTGCTGGCCTCGCCCCTGCTTCTCTATGTCTTGCCGGCCACTGTCCCAGCCAGGCCTGAGGTGGCCTCTGCCTCCCCCTGAAACTCCTCTCCACCTAACCGTGTCTGGGTCGCACATTTCGAGTAGAACATTGACAGTTACTTGTTCTAAATAGGCACTCACTAGTCTCAGAAGGAACCTGGGAGAATGAGCTGTCCGGCGGAGCCTGGGGCAGGGGTGGGCTGGGCGGGGAGCCTGACTACAGTGTGGGAGGCTTACCACGCCCCTGGGCTTTGCTTCAGGCCGCTCTTAAAGCTGATATGCACCAAAGTAAGCTGTGAGCTGACTCGGTTCAGAGTTCACCCTGACACCCACTAGCTGTGCGACCTTTTACGGAAGGCCTGGCCTCTTGGAGCCTCTTTCCATCTGCAGTGTGGCAGGTTAAGACCTGCTGCCGAGGGGCTGCGAGGTGTTGGTCAGACCAGAGTCCGTGGCCTCACATGATGCCTCCTTTCCTGTACCCCCTCATCACTGGGGCCAGGTGGCGCTGTCCCCAGCCCTCCTCTAGCTCCAGGGCAGGGAGGGTGGAGTCTCAGGTAGGACAGATTCTTGGAAGGCGAGAATGGTGGCAGAAGCTGGGTTTGGAGTTGACAGCAGCTCACAGCTTCGCATTACGTCCCTGTCCCTGTAGACTTACAGCCACAAGCCCATGCCCTTCCTCGGGTAGGACCTCCGCCACCCTGTTGTCTCCCTTCAGGCCCTCAGGAAAGCAGCAGAAGGCCCCAGCGGGACCAGTTTCTGAGCCAGGCAGACTGGGACCCTTGCTGCCTGTGTGACTGTCTGTCTGCTGTCTGGGCTGACCTCTTCCCATGGGATTGCTGGGGAATTAGATGAGTCACACTGAAAAGCACTTAGAACAGGCCTGGCTCCTAGTCACTGCTTGGCAAACAGCTGATCTTACTATTTGGGTTGCCCCTGGCCTGAGCTTCTGTCCTCACCCTTAGACAGCTGGCATGGCCTTGGCCCTTGCTAGACTCGGGACAGGGAGGCACCGAGGCTGTGTTTTGCCTGAGGAACCCCCCACCAGCTGGTGGCTCTCGGAGGAGCTGTAAAATCGGAGAGGCCACCTGCTAGAACCTGGCTGAGCTGCAGGCCACCTCGAGGCCACCAGGTGGCGCTGGGCACCCTCCTCTGGGCCCACGAGGCGGGGTCTGGCTGTTTCTTGACAAGGAAGGGGCTGAGTCCCACCCCATAGCTCAGTTAGCGTCGCAGAAGGGAGCAGCTCCTTCCTGTTGAGCTTCTCCGCCTCGAAGGTGCACATTATATCCTAGCGGTCAGAGGAAGAACTGCTCTCAACAGTGATGCAGCTCTGTGAGTTGGCTCATCAGAGGCAGGAGGGGGATTTGAACCTAAGTCTCTGTGACTGCTGACCCCAGGCTTAGGAAGCCTTCACCCTGGGTGAGAGGCCTGGCTGGTCCTCTCCCTAGCCAGGGGCAGCAGCCTGAGGCTCTTCGTGTGATGGAAGCAGGCGTGCAACCCACATTCATTAATCTGTTATACTGGGAACTCTAACTCCCCTGTTTTCTTTGTACTGAAGCCATTTTTCAGAGCAAGCTGAAGCAAGAATACAAAAAGTTTATCAGTTAGGCACTGAAGAAAGAGTCATTAAGAAGTAAAGTCACAGAGCCCAGGCGTGGTGGGGCATGCCTGTCAAGTCACTCAGGAAGCTGAGGCAGGAAGATCCCTATGAGTTCAAGGCCAACCTGGCCTACATGGCAAGACCCTGTCTCCCAAACAAAAGGAAGGAAGGAAAGTCACAGAATCACCTTCCTGGTGCAGTAGGGCCCCAGTCAAGGTGGAGCTGTGTCCCTAGAGCCCCTGAGTCATTGTGGAGAGGGGTCCTCAGCACAGCAGCATGGCTGGCAGGCTGGGGGTCCCCACCAACTGCACCCAAGCCACGTCCTCGCCCCTCTCCCACAGACCTCCAAGAAGCTGGTGAACTCAGTGGTGGGCTGCGCGGACGACGCCCTGGCTGGCCTGGTGGCCTGCAACCCGGGTCTGCAGCTCCTGCAGGGCCACCGCGTGGCCCTGCGCTCTGACCTGGACAGCCTCCAGGGCCGGGTGGCCCTGCTGTCAGGTGGAGGCTCTGGCCACGAGCCTGCCCACGCCGGTGAGCGGCCCGGGGAGCGAGTGGGGCAGTGGGATAGTCACCTTGGGACTCCGGCACCTCCAGGAGCATGAGGTTGGGCCTCGGGGTCTCAGCTCTTCCAGCTGTCAGGGCTGGCCGAGGTCCGGGAGGCGGGACTGGCCTCTGCTGTCAGTGGCTTTCCCGTCTCCCTTGGCGAGTCCAGGGTGCCCGGCCTGTCCTGGGCACAGGTCCAGCCTGAGCCCCACAAACAAGGCCCCTGCTGTCCTGGGGCCGCCATCCTGCCTGGGGCCCAGACAGCAGCCAGCAGGGAACACAGCGGCAAGCGAGCAGGGAGGCACGGGACACAGGCACTGTCCCCACCCAGCACTCACACCTGCCCACGCGTCCCCAGGGTTCATCGGGAAGGGGATGCTGACGGGTGTCATCGCGGGAGCTGTGTTCACCTCCCCAGCTGTGGGCAGCATCCTGGCAGCCATCAGGGCGGTGGCCCAGGCAGGCACAGGTCAGCTGGCATGGGGCTCCTGTGGGCAGGGTGCACGGGCAGCGAGGGCAGGCGCTGATAACCCTGGCCACTCCGGCAGCGGGGACTCTCCTCATTGTGAAGAACTACACTGGGGACCGGCTCAACTTTGGCCTGGCCCGTGAGCAGGCCCGTGCCGAGGGCCTCCCCGTGGAGATGGTGGTCATCGGGGACGACAGCGCCTTCACCGTCCTGAAGAAGGCTGGCCGGCGGGGCCTCTGTGGCACCGTGCTGATCCACAAGGTGGGCTGAGCTGCCCTGCCGTGTCGTGCCGTGCCATGCCATGCCATGCCATGCTGCCCGCCACCCCCAACCCAGGAGTGCCCAGGCCCCAGCCATGCAGCCACCCTGCCCTGCTGCTAACCCAGTGCCTGCGTGACACACGTCCTCGCCCCCACTGTCCTGTCCTCGCTGGGGTCAGACACCTCTGCTGTGCCCACTGCCCTGTCTGTCCCCACGCTGCCACCACAGGTGACTGAAAACACGTGTCTGGGGCTGGGGCAGCCTCCTGTGGAGCCCCCCTCTGCCTCTGTGGACCGCAGACTCCTTCCCTGCCGCCGGTTCCCCCTGTGTCCCTCAGAGGCAGGGATGTGGCTCCGCCCTCTGTTCTCAGTGCTCGCTAGGTGCTTGGTGACAGCGGGCGGGTGGCTGGACTGAGTGAGCCAGGCCATGGCCCTCAGAATCGCCGACTGGCCACATGGTGCTCTGTAAGTTCCTGGTGGCTCCAATAGCCCAGAATTCTTGAAGACCCAGAAAGGCACGCTGGGAATGAAGGGGAGACACTTGCGCCCTGAATGCCGGGGGCCAGGTGGGGCGTGGAGACCCTGCGATTCTCTCCGCAGGATCCTCTCAGCCCCCTGGCCCCTAGTGGCTGGGGACTCCTTCCCACTGGGCCATGTGCTGCAGGTGGCGGGGGCGCTGGCCGAGGCTGGCGTGGGGCTGGAGGAGATCGCAGAGCGGGTGAGCGAGGTCGCCAAGGCCATGGGTGAGTGCAGCCCGGGGGCTCGAGCAGTTCCTGTTCCAGGTGGGAGGCAAGGGCTCCTGGGGACCACAGCTGGTGTCTCTGTCCTGACGGAGATGGGGACAGTCGGGGCTGGGCCTCCCGAGGCACCACTGCTGCCTGTCCTGACGCCAGGCACCCCGCATCCCACTGTCCTAGGCACCCTGGGTGTGAGCCTGTCCTCGTGCAGCGTCCCCGGCTCCAGACCCACCTTTGAGCTCGCCGCCAGCGAGGTGGAGCTGGGCCTGGGTAAGCCGCACCTGCGTCCCGGGCCTGGCCGCCTGCAGCTAGCGTCTCAGTGGTCACCAGGGGTACTGGAGACCAGGCCCGGCCACCCTGCCTGATCCCCGCCCGAATCCCCCACACCCAGGTGTGGCTCCCTCTCCAGGGCGTTCAGGGCCACCTGGCCTCGTCCACGGTGCTGTCCCCACCTCCCCGCATCTGAGGTGATGGTGTCCGTGTCTGGGCGCTCACGCCTCCCTCTAGTTGAAGCCGCGGGGACTCTGGCTGTCCCCACCACCAGTCCCATTCACCGCCCCGCCCCGGTGCCTGGCCTGGCACCACACGCTCAGTCTTTGATAAGATGTGACAGCTTGCCCCTGGCCTGGCAGGCCACATGAGTGCTCCTCTCTTTAGGGATCCATGGGGAAGCAGGTGTGCGCCGGGTCCAGGTAGGTGACGCCTGTCCCCAGCCAACCTGAGGCCAAGGCCCCCAGACACAGCTCACCTCTGGTCACCGTGACAGATGGCGACCGCCGATGAGACTGTCGCGCTCATGCTGGACCACATGACGGACCCCTCCAACGTGTCCCGTGTGCCTGTGCAGCCAGGTGAGCGCCCTCCTTTACTGGGTGCCGGGCCACCCCGCACCTCGGGTCTCACGGGGCGTCTCACGGGCACGCAGGCTCCTCGGTGGTCCTGATGGTCAACAACCTGGGTGGCCTGTCGTTCCTGGAGCTGGGCATCGTGGCTGACGCTGCTGTCCGCTGCCTGGGTGAGCCCACACTGGGGACCCAGCCCTGCCAAGCGGAGTGAGGGGGGACGGTCCAGGGAGGGTCTTGGGTGGCCGAGAGCAGGACTGAGCAGTCACGGCCTCGGCTGAGCCACGACACTGCCCTTCTCACTGGGGACCCGAGCCCGGTCCTTCTATGCCGGGGTCTGACCGTCACAGTGCTGCTGGTGGCTCGGAGCACGGAGGGCACCCAGCAGTGGAGGAATTTGGGCCGCCGGGGTTCTCGAGTTAGTTCATGGGCCTCTTGCGTTGGCACTGCAGAGGGCCGCCAGGTGAAGATCGCCCGTGCCCTGGTGGGCACCTTCATGTCCGCCCTGGAGATGCCCGGCGTCTCTCTCACCCTCCTGCTGGCAGACGAGCCCCTCTTGAAGCTGATAGGTGAGGCTTGGCACCCAGCCCTCAGAGCCAACCCTGACCATCAGCCTTCTCCAGCTGTCTCCAGCTCCCATGTGGCTCTGTAGGGGTCGGCACAGGGTCTCCACCCAGGCAACCCTTCTCCGGATCCCTGCTCATGCAGGAGGCCCCTTCCTCCAGGGCCAGGTGGGTCCTCCCTCCTCTTGGCCAGCGTGTCTGAAGTCCCTGTGCTGTCCTAGATGCTGATACCACCGCAGCAGCCTGGCCGCACATGGCCAGGGCGTCCGTGACCGGGCGGACACGGAGCAGGGCAGCCCCCACCGCACCTCCAGAGGCCCCTGAAGCTGCTGCTGCTGCAGGAGGTGCCAGGCCTTGCTGGGGAGGGACCACATCCTTGGTGCCCCAGGGGATGTGGGGTGGGCAGCAGGGCCCTGGCACTGATGGTGTGGAGCCAGTGGCCTGGCCCTCTGTCCTCCCGCAGGTGTGCCCTCACACAGGGTGGTGCATGTGCTGGAGCAGGTGTGCACCACCCTGCAGGACCTGGAGGAGCCCCTGAACGCCCTGGACCGGGCAGCCGGTGACGGGGACTGTGGGACCACCCACAGCCGCGCGGCCCAAGGTCAGAGCAGGCCCTGGGTTGCAGGAGGGCTGGAGGGGCACTGGTTCTTGGGTGGGCACAGGACAGATCCCAAAGCATGTGGAGGGCTGCTCTGGGCACCACCTTCCTCCGCCCCGTGAGGACATTCACAAAACACCAGCATCCCTCCTCTGCTTTCCTGAGGAAGAGGAAGGAGCTTGTGCTCCAGGTGTGGGGGCCATCATCCGGGAGAATGGGATCCTCCACTCAGGACTCGCTTTGCTGCCCACCGCTCATTCAGGAAAGGCACAGACGCGCCCTCTGCGGGCCAGGGTGGCATGGCTCTGCCTGGCAAGAGAGCCAGCAAAGCAGCCCAAGTCCCTGGCCTGGCCTCCACACCCCTGTGACTGACACGCAAGCTGCTGGCGCAGCAGGGAGGGGGACAGGAGGGCGTCCCCCAAGTTCCACGCTCTCTGTTTGCAGCCATCCAGGGCTGGCTGGAGCAGGGCCCGCCACCCACCAGCCCCGCGCGCCTGCTCTCCAGCCTGTCCGTCCTGCTGCTGGAGAAGATGGGGGGCTCCTCTGGGGCGGTGAGCGGTGGCAGCCTGGCGGGAGGGCTGTGGGTCGGAGGGTGGCTCCGGTCTCAGCATCCTGTGCCCCCAGCTCTACGGCCTGTTCCTGACCGCAGCTGCCCAGCCCCTCAAGGCCAAGACCGACCTGGCCGCCTGGTCTGCTGCCATGGACGCCGGCCTGGATGCCATGCGGAAGTGAGCCGGGGCCCTGGGAGCCCTGGGCATGGGGTGACGGTGTGCCTGCTCCCGGCCGGCCGGCCCCCCCTAACAGGACCCCGACGTGAGGCTGTGGTTCTTTCCCCGCCAGGTACGGAAAGGCTGCACCAGGCGACAGGACCATGGTGTGTACCCTCCTCCTTGGAGCCTGGATCCCTGAAGGCCCCCTCAGTGCAGGGCCTCCCCTCAGCCCCGTCTCTGTCCCCGCTGCAGCTGGACTCCCTGTGGGCAGCAGGACAGGAGCTCCAGGCCTGGAAGCACCCCGGGGCCAGCCTCCTGCCTGTCCTGAAAAAAGCAGTGCAGGTGAGTGGGTGGGCCGTAGCATGGGGAGCCAGGTGGGTCACAGAGGGCCACAGGGAACCATGCAGGGCATGCTGTCCCCTTGATGGACCAGAGTGTCCAGGCCGTGCCTGTCCTTACCCCCCACCCGCCCGTCCCCAGAGTGCTGCTGCCGCAGCTGAGGCCACCAAGACCATGGAGGCCGCGGCAGGCAGGGCCAGCTACATCAGCTCTGCCCGCCTGGACCAACCGGACCCCGGCGCAGTGGCTGCCGCTGCCATCCTCCGAGCCATCCTGGAGGCCTTGCAGAGCCTGGCCGTGTGACTGCCTTGCCCAGCCAGTTCCTCTCCCTCCAGCCTGCACCTGCCCTGAGTGTGGCAGGAGCCCTGCACTGGCCTGTGGAGTCAGCTGGAGTGGGGTCCTGCCTTTGCAGGGTGGGGTACAGCCCCCAGGTCGCTGCCCCTAACCCTTCCAGGAAGGCCTTCCAAGCCTGAACCCAGTCTGCACGGAAAAGGAAGCTGAGCAATAAACCACATGGAGCGCAGCCTCCTGGGGCCTTTGTCCTGCAGCCGGGAGGCACACCCGGAAGCTGCCCTAGCACTTCCCCTGCCCCGCTGTGGGTCCCTACCCACCAGGCTGCCACTGGCTCACAGGCAGATGTGCCCAGTGGACATGGCCCCAGCTCTGCCGCTGCCTGGCTGGGGCAATCACTTTTTTTTTGCATTGTCATTTTCCAGCATGTAGAACAGGGAGCATTTCCTTCCTCTTGAGGTGAGAAGCAGCTCAAGGCCGCAGTCCCCCGGGTCAGACAGCGCCCCTCACCCTTTCCACAGAGAAGGCTTCCGTCACGTTCTTATGTCCACATGAGACCGGGGAGGTCACCTGGTCCTGACAGAGGGGCCTTCGCGGCTCCTGGGACTCGAACCCCCCAGACACCAGAGCCATGCAGCCCCCCAAACTAGGCAGAAGAAACGTTTCTGCCCCCTAGGCTACGAGGGTGAACAGACAGGGCAGCGTCAGCTCTACAACACGGGGTTTAATGAAAGCCGAGCTTTGTGAGCCAGGGAGATGCCACACACGGGACGGGCAGCCGGGTGCCTCCCTGCCTGGGGTCTGCGGCCAGCACAGCCTGTCCTGAGAGGCTCGGAGAGCCCAGCCAGCGTGTGGGAAGGGGGCCGCAGCTAGCAGGGGACCAGGGAGACCGCAGAAGCTACAGGCTCTGTGCTTCACTGGGCACAGTGCCCCACACGGCCGCCTTGGTTTCCTCTGGGCCACAATGGGACAGAAGGGTGGGCAGGGTGCCCATGGCCAGCATGGGGAGTAAGGGAGCCTCCCTCGATATCCTGGGACACCTGGAGACACAGTTACGGGGCTGCTAGGACCACCTGGCCGTGACAGGCATGAGAGCCCCAGAAAGGGTGGCATCCACGCCCTGGCGGGAGCAGCAGCTAAAAGAGGAAGAGCCCACGCAAACAGTCACACACAGTGCCGTGATGCCACACGCAGGGCCAACAGCTGGGTAACGGCGCCTGGGCTGCACCCACGTCCTGGCTTCCACACCGGCTGGACTCTGCCGGATCCAAGGCTCACTTCCTGTGGATCCCCCGATCTGCATGGAGAGCAGTAAGCAGCAAGCAGCAGTGGCCAGGGCAGGAGGCTCCTGCACAAATGGAGGCCTGAGAAGTCCCTGCCAATACCCAGAGAAGTGGAGACAGCAGCTGGCTGGAGGGAGGGCCAGCCCCAAGGCAGGGAGACCCCGACACCAGGCAGGCGCAGGTGCACCGTGCTTCTGAGGGGTGCAGGGCACAGCGGCGACTTCTGGGAGCTCCTTCTCACATCATTCCCTGTCACACAACAGGGGCTGCAAAGAGGGCAGAGCGCAGGGGTGAGTGGCCCCGACCTGCAGCCCTTGCCCCAGGCACCCGGTCTCTGGGGAGGGCCTGAGGCCCGGGCCCAAATTCGGTCAGGTGCCTGCCTGGCGAGAACAACCCGGAGGCTGGCAGAGCCGAAGCAGGGGCAACCATGTGCCCGTCTCATGCCAGAGCCCTTCCTTGGGGAAGGCGAGGCCACATGGCGTCCCCCAGACCATAGTAAATGGGGAGGGAGCCTGGACAGCGTGTCTGACCACCAGAGCCCCAGCCCCCCGCGCCTGGCCTGGTGCCACCGCCACATCCTGCTCCCCCAGGCTGCCAGGCGATACGGGGAGAGGCCCAGTCCTTCCCAGGCAGTACCCCTAGACCTGGCCAAGCCACCTGGGGACAGGGACCAACAGCCAGACCTGTCTGTCGGCCAAGACCCCCAGCTCGGGGCGCTTCCACGGCGACGCCAGGAGGATGTAGAGGACCAGCACCCCGAAGGCCACCACTAGCAGCCCCGTGCTGTTGGCAAAGACAGCCTCACTGGGCAGGCTGTGGTACGGCTTGGTGGCATTCTTCCTAGGGTTACAAAACGTGGCTGTGACAGGTCGCTGAGCAGAGTGCTCTCCCGGGGCCTTAGCCGACTTGCTCAGTCCCTGCACACCAACACCTGAGACACTCTGCTCCTGTAAACAAGCTGGGGGCTCCAATCCCAGCACTGTCACTGCAGCTGTCTCCTGGCCAAGTCACAGCCTAGTGCCTCAGTGCCCTCGCTTATTGTTTGGGGACAGGGCGTCGCTGGGTACTCGGCCGGCACTGTGTAGCTCAGGCTGCCCTCCAACTTGCTGAGGCCAACCCTGGACTCCCCAGCCTCCTGCCTCGGCCTCCCAAGGGCTGTGTGACAGGCCCGCGGCAGCGCCCCAGCTTCCGTGTCCCCCTCTAAGTGGCGGTGACGGGCATGGAAGCCGGAGGGCAGTGGAGTGCGTCACAGCTCTCGCAGCAGGGCCACAGCAGGCTGAGCTCTGTCAGTGTCTGCGGGTCAGCTCACTACTTTAGCCCCAAGGGGACAGTCCTGCTGCCCCGACAGGAACGGGCCAGGTGGCGCGCTGGGCCCAGCACCAGGCACTGCGTACACCTCAGACACGTGGCCTCCCTGCCTCGGCCCCAGGGACCCCACGCACTCACAGGCTGAAGAACAGCTTCTCGTTGATGCCGGAGATGACAGACGCCATCGACAGAGACAGGATGGCAGCTCCGAAGAAGACATGCAGCGGCTTCAGGAGGCTGCGCAGCCACAGTGACGCCCAGGGCAGCAGGAAGATGGTGAAGCCCAGGAACCACTGAGGGGGGGGAGGGGAGGGGAGGGGACCCTGCGGTGCTGTGCGACCCCCAGCCCCACTGCCCTGCACGGACGCCTGTCCCCCAGCCACACGCAGGCGTGGACCCTCGCTGCCACTGGCCTCCAGCACCCTGGACAAAGCCCTCCCTTGTAGAAGCCACCTCTGTCCAGAGGGCAGGGTCTGGGCAGCCATGGGGCCTTGCTGCTCCGCCCTGGGCGCCGGGATGAGCGATGAGCAGCTGTGGGGCAGCAAGCAGAGGGGCCAGGAGCAGCAGGAGGGGGTACCCACCTGGCAGGAGAACAGGACTGTGGTGGTGAGGCCCAGCCAGCTGTGCAGCGAGTATAGGTGGGTGATCCCGGCATGGCTGTGGTACCGGAAGACAGCAACCAGCCCCACCACAGCGAGGACAAAGGCTCCCAGGTGCAGAGCTGCGTGCAGGGCCTTCCAGGGCAGCCGGGGCCCCAGCCATGCCTGTGGCAGGCGGTACACCAGCGACGCTGCAGGACAGAGAGCAGCCGCTGGGCCCCAGTGCCCACCCAGCCACCAGGCCTTGAGGCCCTCCACGTGGCCTCGGTCCCAGGATAACAGTCAGCCGCTGGAGGGGTCGGGAGGGCCCATGCGAGGCACCTGGGACCCCAGCTGCTCTGGGGGCTGAGGCAGGAGGGTCATGAGTTCAAGGCCTGCCTGGACAACTTCATGAGACCCTGTCTCAAAATAGTCAAAATTTAAGAAAAAAAGGGGGAGGGCCATGGATATGGCTCAGGGCAGGGACCTGTGTTCAATCCCCAAAGCCTCAAAGAAGGAAACATCTGTCAGGCAGTCGTTTGTTAAGTGTAGTTCCAACACAGCTGCATGGGCCAAAAAGCACCGGCTCATCAAATCGAATTCTCCCAGCCAAGGTCACCTACCAAGAACTCAGGGCTTGGCCGGGGGCAGAGGCCACACCTGTGATCCCAGCTCCCTGGGGGGCTGAGGCAGGGGGATCACAAGTTCAAGGCCGGCCAGGCAATATAGGGAGACCCCACTGAAAAGTAAATTATGAAGAAGGAAAAGAATGCAGGTGTGAAGGTCGGAGTCCGGGCTCTGCCTCTTAGCTGTTTGGGGCTCCTTCTGGTCGGCAGGGGTAACAGCGCCTGCCCACAGCTGCTTGTAGGAACCAAGCAGGGGAAGTCTGCAAAGCACTAGTGAGCTGCTGCCATCAGTGTCATCATGCCCTGCTTTTTTTCAATCCATTTTTTTTCCGGACTGAGGATTGAACTCAGGTCCTTGCGCTTGCGAAGCAGGTGCTGTACCATTGAGCTAAATCCCTGGCCCAACCCCTACTTTTTTTGAGACAGGGTTTTGCCCTGCTACTGGGGATTGATCTCGGGTCCTTCTGCTTGTGAGGCAGGTTGTGGCACCACTGAGCTAAATCCCTGGCCCCTAGACACCGTTTTGCTACATAGCCCACAGGTGATCCTCCTGCCTCAGCCTCCTGGGTCAGGGATGATAGGCGTGCACTACCATGCCTGGTTCCTGTTATTCCCCTTTTACAGGGGAGAAGGGGGCTCACTTTCTATTTCATAAGGCATGGATTTCAATGCCTGGACAAAGACAAAGCCCTGAAGAGAAAGCAAACCCTAGTCAGGCCCAGGCTATGCCACAGGAGGCTTCAGCCCCTGGCTCCCAGCACACAGGCAGCAAATTGCTGCTCTCAGGCCACACCCAGCCCCACGCTGATCTCTGTGGCTGCCGATTCAGCTCCTGTGTGCTCTGCACTCGCTGAGGCTGTGAGTGAGTGAGGCACGAGCAGCTGCTGCGAAGAGCACGCGGCTCACAAAGCCTATGTTTTTGTTTTACTTGCAGCACTGGGCACTGAGCAACCTCAGCCCTCATTTTATTTTATTTGTGTGTGTTTTTGAGACAAGGGCTCCCTGTGCATTCAGGCTGGCCTTGAACTCACAGAGATCTTCCTTCCCTCAGCCTCCCAAGTGTGGGGAGTACAGGCGTGTGCCACCACACCCGGCCCTCATTTTTTTATTTTGAAAACTGACTCTTCCCAGGGTACTGTGTTGCCTAGGCTGGGACAGAATTTAAGGACCCTCCTGCCTCAGCTTCCCAGAGTGAGGATATGCCAGGCACGCGCCCCCATGCCTAGCTAAAAGCCTGCAGCCTGGCCCTTGACAGAAAGTTCACCAACTCCTGCCCCAAGTACCTGAGTTGCCCCTGCCCTTACCACGCTTCCCTGAATGCCAACTGCATGCAGCACCAGCCAGGCAGTCCCAGGCCCACTTCAGACAAGCTGGCCGTGCCCTCGCCCCATGCTGCCCTCACTCACCAGCTCCATAGAGCACCACCATGCCCGACACCATAAGCACCGGGTGCCAGTTGAACATGTGCTTGCCGCCGTCCCAGGCAAAGCCACCTCGCCAGTGCTGGGCCCAGTAGGTGGTGCCAAGGATGCAGAGGAACCCCAGGGCACCCAGTAGCAGGCAGGCCAGGTAGAAGCCCCTGGAAGCCATCGCCATCAGCGCTCCTGGAAGGGGCAAGAGAGTTACTGTCCCCACGGGCCAGGCCAGCTGCCCCTCACAGCCCAGCGGGCTCTGGGGCCAGAACCTGGACTCTGCTTCAGTTCCCTGCCACCTGCGTGGGCCCTGCCCATGAGGCCTCAATGGCCAGTGGCCCCCAAATGAGTGCAGCTCACAGCAGCACCTGGCAGGGTTGTAGGTTTCCGAGATTTTCATTATCTTTGTCATTGCTCTACTAGGGATGGAACCCAGGGTGCACACATGCCAGGCAAGTGCTCTACCACAGAGCTGCATCCCCAAATGCTCTTTCATGTTTATTTTGAGGCAGAGTCTTGCTAAGTTGCTCAGATTGGCCTTGAACTTGAGATCCTCCTGCCTCAGCCTCTGAAGTAGCTGAGATTATGTGTGTGCCATTATATCCAGCTGAGAATTTTGGATTTTGGAATATTTGCATGTTGCATTTTTTGAGCTTCACTTTGGTGATCAAAAAGCTTCAGAACACAGCTGGGCATAGTGGCACACACCTGTAATCCTAGCACTCAGGAGGCTGAGGCAGGAGGATCACTGCAAGTTCCACGTCAGCCTGAGCTACCTAGTGAGTTTAAGGCCAGGCTGAACTGCATAGTGAGCCCGTCTCAAAAAAATAAAATAAAACAATTAATAGTTTCAGAACACTTTGGATTCTGGATGGAGATGCTCAACCTGTATTACAAGGCCACTGGGACACGGCCCTGTGGCCCCCACTTCTACAGAAGGGTCCTCCTCCCCAGATGGGGTGACTCCAGGCCCAGCACCCCAAGGCGGGAGCCAGGCCTTCACCCAGGCCTCACTGCACTCCCCCAGTGCAGGGCCACCTGCAGGTGTCTCCAGCCTGAGACTTCTGCTTTCTGTGCTCTGGGGAAAGTCCAGGGAAGGAAACAGGAAGCGAGAACTCACACCCTAGAAAGTAGGAGGGTTAATTTTAGGGTTTTCCACATGTGCTTGATGAACTCAGAAGCCAGCTCTGGTTTCAGGCCTGGTATTCGTGTCTCCCACGTCCCACGCAGCTGCTCTGAAAAGCCAGGCCAGGGCCTGGGTGTGCAGCTTGGGGGCAGAGGGCTGCCCTAGAACGCCAGGCTCAGTGCCACACGTGAACACACACACACACGTGCACGTGCAACAGGCACAGGCCCCGACCTCAAGGCAGCCACCCCATCCCCACCCCACAGACTCAGGCCACCCGAGCTGGTTTCTCGCATGTGAGGCACCTCACTCTGAAGAGGTAGCCGTGACACCCAGGAGAGCCCACACCCAATTCCTCACCTTCAGGCCTGGCAGGAGCTGGGAGGCGTGGCCTGGGCTCGGGGCCTCACGGCCTGGGCGGCTGGCTGGAGCAGGGTGCTTCGCGCCTTCGCACTTGTTTGCACCTGAAAGAGGCACAGCAGTGAGAACTAACTCCATGCTGAACGCCATCTGTGAACACCAAGAATGTAAACAGCAGTAGCCCATCTTACACACGAGGAGTCAGGCTCAGAACCATTAAGTCGCGTCAGGACGGTAAGTGGGTGTCCGGTGTCTGACCCTCCTCTGTTGGCTTCTCAGCCCACAGCCAGTACTTCCCCCCATCACGGCTGTCAGCAGGAGAGAAAATGTTAAGGACATTTTGAGAAGCAACTATTACAACACTTCCCATTTATCACTCTTGAAGGATTTTATCCTAACTGCTAACAAAAACTGCAGTTAGCTGGGTGTGGTGACGCAGGTCTGCAGTCCCAGCTACTTGGGAGGCTGAGACAGGAAAGATCATTTGAGCCCAGGAGTTCAAGGCCAGGTTGGGCAACATGAGAACTAGTCTCTAAAAACAAACATACAAACAAAACCCTGAAGGGCCGGGGATCTGGCTCACTGGACGGAGCAGGCCTTGCAAGGGCAAGATCCTGAGTTCGATCCCTGAAAATGAAAACAAAAACACAAGACAAACAAACAACACCGTGAAGCTCGAAGTCCCTGAGCCTGCCCAAGCCTCTCAGCAGCCCAGATGGGAAGCTGTGCTGACCCAGCTCCACATAACCAGGGTGGGAACTGGGCTCCACAGGTGACCCAGGCTGTCAGTAACCTTTGAGAAAGGAAGATCCCAGGCCAGGGAGGAACAAGCTTCCCAAGGAGGAGTGGCAGAAGAATTCCATGTCTCCTGCCTCATGACTTGGCGACTGAGCTTGGAGACTCACTACCCAGCCTTGTGCTGCCACCTCAACTCCTGCCAGTGCACCAGGCCCCCTGTGCGACATTACATAGCTGTAAGAAGCCCTGGTCAGCAGCGGGCTCCAGCATCTAACAACAACTATTTCCACAATCTTTTTGTGAGGTGGGGAGGTACTGGGGATTGAACCTAGGGACTTCCAACTGAGCCACCTCCCCAGTTCTTTATTTTTCATTTTGAGACAGGATCTCATTAAGTGCTAAGTTGCCCAGGCTAGGCTAAAACTTGCCATCCTCCTGCCTCAGCCTCCCAGAGTCCTGAGATCCCAATCTTTTCCTTTTTTTCCTTTGTAAAAAGAAAAGTAGCCAGGCATGGTGGTGCATGCCTCTAATCCCAGCGCTTGGGAGACTGAGGCAGGAGGACTGCTGTGTTTGAGGCCAGCCTGGCTACATAGTGAGACCTTGTCTCAATAAACAACAAAAAAACCCAAAACACACATACACAGAAAAAAAAGTAAATATGCTCCAAACAGGACTGTATCCACACCCCTAGATAAAGTCCCAATTACTGCTGTGATGAGTGAAGGGCAGATGATGGGGCACTTTCGTGACCAAGGGCAGGGAAGTCTAGGCCGCTGACCACAGCACACAGACCAGCCCTCAGTTCCTGGAATGGGGGCAGTGACACTGATGTAGGTGCTGGGCAGGGCTTCAGGAGGTGTTGGCCGAAGCTTGGCCTCCTGCTCTGCCCTGCCCTGCAGAGCCCCGTTCTAAGACAGGAGGCAGCAACCTCTTCCAAAAGGCCCAGGTAACAAATAATTTCAATCTTCAGGTCACGGTCGCTTGCACAACTTTGTCATCCACTCTGCTGATGCACCGTACTGCAAGAGCAGCCACAGACAACCACTTAGCAAGTGAGCACGACATCACAGCGTTCCAGTGACCTTTTGTGAACACTAAAATCTGAGTCTGTCTGTCATCTTCACATGTCAAAAAAATGCTATCCTGTGCGGGACACGATGGGACACGCCTATAATCCCCGCACTCTGGGCTGAGGCAAGAGAATCACTAGTTCCGGCCTGCAACTTAGTGAGGCCCTGCCTCAAAATTGGGCTCAATCCCCACTACCCCTATACAAAAAAGCTTTTCATTTCTCTCAATCATTTCAACACGCAGAAACCATTCAGGTGGCCAGATGTGGCCTGTGACTTACAGTCCTTCGACCCTGATCTAAGGAATCTACTGTAATCCAACACTTCCTTCAATTCCCTTGCAGAAGGGTTCTCCCAGGTCAGTGATGGCAAACTTTTAGATCTTTCAATGATACAAACAGCCTGCTGCGGCATGCGTGCCCTGGGTTCACCACCACTGTCCTAGGCTTCGCCAGGACTGGGCTCAGGAATGAGAAATGGGGATGCCCCATTGGTCTTAGTCTTGGAAAAAGGCTGCACTGTATTCCAAACTCTCACATTACTTTCAAATTTTAGAATCACAAACAGATGACAGAACAAAGAGCATTGCTCCCCCAACTCAGGAATCCTGAGAACAGGACTTAGGAGTCAAGCCCTAACCTTACCTAACACTAGGGCTAAAGATGGAAAATGACTTGGCAGGCGGGTGGCAGCGCTGGGAAGCACCCAGGTGCTCCCTCCTCTGTGCCCAGGGTGCGGTCTTTCCCAAGGCAGCTCGTGTAACATCAGGACTCCAGGCTGAGCGGCTCTACAGCCCAGCTAAGTAAGCCAGGTGCTCAGCCCCAGTGACCCAGGCTTGGGACTGAGTCAGGGCTGATACCTCCCCCTCTTCTGGGCACTTGGTCCCAGCCAACCCTGGGTGGAAAAGGGGACGGGGGCTTCGACTGCTTTCCGTACCTCCCCCAAAGCGTTCCAGCCTTCGCAACTACCGCTTGTGCAAGGAAGGACTCAGAGAACAGTGTCCCTTTCCTAAAAGAGCAAACCGAAGCCGAGACGGGTAGCGACAGCGCAAAGCTAGGTACGGCGGAGCCAGCACTTGATCCCAGGTCTTGACATCCCAGCCCCGACTCTTTCTCACCCCTAGCCAGAGCGGGACGCCACTGGCCGGGGACCCCCCCCAAGGCCCGCCTCTCGCCGCCGGGAGCCGCAGCGCCACTCCTCCAAGTCCTGGAACTAGCGTACAAAATCCACAGGGGCCGCCGTCGGCAAGAGTAGAGGCGCGCGCGCCGCGGGGCGCTCTTATAGGCTCGCTGAACTGCCGGTTGCGCGCGAGCCCTCCTGGGAAATGGAGTCCAAGCCCCATGGTCCGGCAGCACCAAGGTTTCGGTCTCCGGTCGCAGTTCCCCCGCGGGCGTTTCTTCCTCACGCCCGGGGTCAGGGCCTCGGGCACCGCGACGCCTCCGCTCTGTCCCTCATCCCTCATCCCGAAAAAGCAGAAAGGTTGTGGTTGACGTACAGCCTCCCGCCGGGGGCTGGCTCTCAAAATGAGCGGAAGATGGGAGGACCAGGAGCAGGCGGGCCCAGAAAGCGAAGGACAAACATGGCGGCCTGCCGGACACCGAACGTGAAGCGGTGGCCATCTACTTCCGGAACTTCTGGCCGGCTTCCGGAAGCAGGACTGTGTCCCCATGGCAACCGCCGTGGGCTCTTTGAGGTGAGTGCGGGTGAGGAGAAGATGGGTAGAGCGACCGGAAGCTAGGATTGTTGTCGCCGTTGCTTTGGGTTTGAGCTTTTGCCAAACAACCCCACTTTTAAGTGGGCTGAGAAGAGTGATGAAAACTGCTCTAGGACAAGGCAGGCGGTTGGGGGCGGCGGCCCGGCAGTGCAGAGCGCTGCGTGGCGGGGATGCGAGGCGCGTTTCCCTTCAGCGGACCGGGTTAGGCGTCCTGGGCCTGCCCGCGGCGCCCTGGGGGAGTGCCGGGAACCCGGACCTTGTCCACGCCGCGCACGCGCAGTTGCTGCACGGGTTAAAGGACGTGGGTTCACGGGGGGTGGGTGGGGTGTGGAGGCCACGGCCACGGCCATCGTCCAGTACGGGGACCTCTGCTTCCCGCCTCTGCGCGGAAGGGCTTCTGCGCGCTGACGTGGCCGAGGTGATCCCGGGATTGAGCGGTGTGCAGAGTTTGTGAAGTGTAAAAGGCCTTGCGGGTTTTCACTTAACCACCTTCCGACACTTCGGAGCAGTCCGGGTTTGGTTTGGTTTGGTTTGAGACAGGGTCTCACTGTGTAGTTCAGGCCGGCCTCGAACTCCAAGTGATCCTCCTGCCTCAGCCTCCTGAGTGCTGTGGTTACAGGTGCGCACCACCAGCCCGGTGCCTTTTGCAGGGTCGCAGGGCACCCCCAGAACTCGTGCCTCTTGAGATCTGTGGCAGCAAAGGCCCAGCTCCCCTTACCCGAGCCCCTGTGCTGCTGCCCCAGCACGATGTGACCTTTTCACGGAGCCCTTTTTCCTTCCAGTGCTTTCCATCTACACCAGCTCCATCCCGCGTGGACCCTTTTGCTACCTAGTTAGTACCAGGCAGCGCAGTGCAGGAGTTAGGAGCAGACTGCACCCGAATCTCAGCTGTGCTGCTTACCAGCTGGGTAACGTTTGACAAACTGGTCTAGGCCTCTGGGCTCCTGTTTTCTTGTCTGTAACATGGGTAAAGTCAGAGCATCTTCCACCCCTCCTGAGGTTACTATGAGGTTTGAGTACTGTTAGTGGTTACAGACCTCCTTGCATACTGCAAGTGACACATAGTGCTCACTTTTTCCCTAGTTCCAGGGCCTTCGATGTCCGCTACATCCCCAGTCTTCCTCTCCTCCTTTTTAGGACAGTCTCACTAAGTCACCGAGTTGCCCAAGCTGAGCCCAAATTCAAGATCCTCCTGCCTCAGCCTCCCAGGTTGTTGGGATTACAGGCCACACCACCACACCCCGATGGGTTTTCAGCTGTTGTTGTAGTTACTGCTCTCACAGGAGCAGGCGGCCACTCTGACTTCCAGTCCTCCTGGACTGTTTGGTTAGGAACAGCTCGGTCTTTAGAGGGTGTAGGTAGAGAAAGGTTTGAGGGTGAGGGCTCCTCAGAGGAATGACAAATGGGGGTGTTTTGGTTGCTGGTTTTGTTCACTAATTGGTCTCTGAGATGGTGCCTCACACACAGTAGGTGCTCAGTCTGTGTTTATTGGTGGCTTTCTGATATCGCCTCTCTCTTTGCCCCTAAAGGTCCTTGCTCTAGCACAAGAGGAACAGCTGTGACTGGAAGAGGTCGGCACCCCTCCTGGTGTCCGGGAGGGACTGGGATGTGGCCTGGGCCCAGAAAGCAGCAGGAAGATGCTCCAGACCAGCAGCTACAGCCTTGTGCTGTCCCTGCAGTTCCTGCTGCTGGCCTACGACCTCTTTGTCAACGCGTTCTCCGAGCTCCTCCGGATGGCACCTGTCGTCCAGCTGGTGCTCTTCATGTGAGTCCACGGGGCTCTGGGAGGCTGAGCGGCTTCCCTGACTGTCAGAGCCATCTGTGGCTGGACTGTGCCGGGCATGTGGGGGCCCGGGTTCCACCCCAGGCCCAGGGCAGCATAAGCAAGGTTGTTAGTAGAGAACTATCAGCCAGGAGAAAATTGGACATTGTCCTGGTTCCCCGTGGTACATAGACGGCCCAAGGCATGTTTGTGTGTCTTCTCACAAGGGCTGGGGACGGGAACAGTTCACATAGCAGGGAGAGTCTCCTGCCCTGTCATTTTCTCCTGCAGGTAGCAGTGTTGTCTCTACCATGCAAGAGAATTAGCAAATGACAGGTTAAAGAGTGAGCGTAGAAATTAAGGTGTGTGATCCCATAGCCCAGCGGTGGTGAATCTATGGCCTACGTGCTGCAGCAGGCTGTTTGTATCAATTGAAAGCTCTAAAAGGTTCACCATCCCTGCAGGGCTGAGGGTTCATGGCTCCCCGAGGCTGTTTGTCAGCTGAATGTCACAGCCCTGGCACAGGCTTCCCTCCCCCAGTGCTGTGTGCTGTCTGCAGTTGGGGTCCTGGTTAGTGGTCAGCCAGAGGCTGCTGCCCACAGGTTTCTCCTCTGGAGAGGGACAGTGGCCACGTCAGGCAAGGTCTGGTCGTTTCTTGCCGAGGTGTGTCACATGCTGCAGAGCGAGGGAGGCTGCCTTCCTTAATGGGGTCTCAGAGTCTGTCTGGGGGCAGGACAGGGCTGACCCTTGGAAGGCCCTGAGCCCCAGCAAGGATGAGGCAGTGCACCTCTGTCTTATGGACCAGCCTCTGAGTGACAGGAAATGGGAAGAAATGAGCTCTCAGAAGTGCTTGGCAGGACAGCCTGTGTCTACTGTGACTCAAGAGGTGGCTGTAGTTTTGTGTCATTTGGGTCCTGCAGCCCATGCTGTCACAGAAAAGGATGGGCCGAACACTGGCCCTGGGGCACAGGCCTCCATGTGGGTGCTCTGTTTTCTGTCCGCAGCATCCAGGACATTGCCATCCTCTTCAACGTCATCATCGTTTTCCTCATGTTCTTCAACACCTTCGTCTTCCAGGCCGGCCTGGTCAGCCTCCTGTTCCGTAAGTTCAAAGGGACCATCATCCTGACGGCCATGTACTTCGCCCTCAGCATCTCCCTCCACATGTGGGTCATGGTAAGCGTGGCTCCGAGTCTTCTGGGAGCCCAGTGTCATCTGAGCCCCTGCAGCAGATGAGTGAAGGGGAGTGTTCTGGGCTGGAGTGCTAGGCACAGGCAGAGGACTCCTGTCCGGCCTTCTCTCTGGAGTTAAGCTTCTGGTTTTGTCTTTGGGTTGTTTGTCGATTTTGGGTTTTTTTCAATGTTTTTTTTTTTTTGACACAGGGTCTCACTATGTAGTTCAGGTTGGCCTTGAACTCACTGTGTAGCCCAAGCTGACTTTGGACTCAGAAATCTCCTGTCTCAGCCTCCCAAGTGCTGGGATTACAGGTGTGTGCCACCACGCCAGGCTCTCTGGTTTTTTTGCAGTGCTGGGAATTGAACCCAGGACCTTCACACTGAGCTTTACCCCAGCCTGTTTTTTTGGAGACAGGGTCCCACTAAATTATTAAGTTGCCCAGGCTAGGTTCAAACTTAGGATCCTCCTGCCCCAGCCTCCCAGAGTGCTGGGATTACCAGCGTGCCCCACTGTGCTTGGCTCAGAAGCAGTATTAAAAGAAATAGTGTTGTTTTGGTGGCGCTGTGGACGGAAGCAGGCCATGCTTGTGTGGGCCCTGCCACTGAGCCACACCAGCTGGCTGTCTGTGCTGAGGGGCCTTGAGCGAGGGCTGGGATTGTTCCCCGAACTTGGTCAGTCTCGCCTCAAACTGGCCGGCAGGCAAAGGCCCGAAGCTGACTGACTGTCATCGGGCTTTTGGGCATCATCGTGCCGGGGCTGGGCTATGACAGCGGTGTTGGGGGGGGGCAGCTGGCAGCAGAGCTGCTGCCCTCGGCGTCCTGTGCCCTCTGCGGGCCCCAGGAGTTCCCCTTGGCACCTGAGGCCCGGGTCGCCTGGGCTCCTTGGCTTCAGGTTTGCTGCTCCGCAGGTTCTTCTGTCTCTGTGCCTCTTGTGTCTGCGCTGACGGCACTCAGCACCTCATGTCTGGGCTGGGGCAGAGCTGGCGGGGAGCACGTGCCGCAGTGAGGCCCCAGGCTCCAGGTCGGGGTCCCAGTCCCCTCTGGCCCAAAGTGGCCTCTTCGCTTGGGACCAGGGAAAGGAGGCCTTGAGTGCTTGTGCCGAGGCCTCGGGTGCCGCCTGCAGCCGGCCTGGCCCTGGTGCTGGGCTTAGAGATGTTCCGGCCTCATGAACTAGAGCCACTGATTACAGCATGGCAGCTGGGCCTTTGCTGACGGGAACTGGGCTGAGAGTCCCGGGAGGCAGTGCCCAGGGTCCTCCCGGGGCTGAAGGGTCCTCTACAGCACAGGGAGTCTTGAGGTTCTCTGGGGAGAGGAGGAGAGCGCGGTGAGGCGCTTCCTCCCAGTGGCACCTCAGGAGCTGAGCCGTGTGTGGTGCTGACCGGGCCCTCTCTCCCTAGAACCTGCGCTGGAGGAACTCCCTGGGCTTCGTGTGGACCAGCGGGCTGCAGGCACTGTTCGTGCTCCAGAGGCTGGGTAAGGAGCTCGAGCCCGCGCCAGGGACGAAGCAGGCGCTGCCCTGCGCTCGCGGCTCGGGCCTAAGCGCTGCCTGCCTCCCTCCCCGCAGCAGCCGTGCTGTACTGCTACTTCTACAAGCGGACCGCCCTGCGGCTGGCTGACCCCCGCTTCTACCGCGACTCACAGTGGCTGCGAAAGGAGTTCCTGCAGGGCTGACGGCGACCTCCGCCTCCTGCTGGAAGCACCTTGGCTGCTCTTCGAGGAGGCCCGGCCGCTGCACTGGGCGCCCACGGCACCCAGGGCACCAGGAGGAAGCGCCGTTCTGCACGTGGCGGGCGCCCTATGCCTGCTTCACCACCACGCCCTCTGCCTTGCCCCTCCATCCTGTGGCTCTGAGGGGACAGTGGACACCAGCCCCCGTTCTCCTGGCACCAGCACAGTGACTGAGGCCCCCGTGCACCAGCCCTGCTCCTGACCAGCGGCCCCGCTGACGTTTAGATGTCACACCCACGGGACGTGTTACGTTTATAAATGGGAAATAAACTGAACTCCTTTCTCATAACGACCAGAAGCCGTCCACGTCACTGGAGCTCCCCATGGGAGGGTGGCATGGGGCCGGCCTCAGACTGCACGCAGCACAGTACCCGGCAGGTGCCCGAGCCCCACCTCGGTCCACAGCAGCTGCACCTTGGGCTTCTGATGCTGCAGTGCTCTCCCTGCCCCGAGTGCCTCCGCCTCCTCCTGTCTGGCAGCAGAAGTATTGGACGTCCTGAGTCCCGAGCCATTTCCATTGCCAGAGTGAGGAGGTAGCACCCAGAAGGAAGCTCCCAGCGCAGGGCTCAGCGGGCCGGGCCGGGCCCTGATATGGGATGGGCGGCCGTAACTCCATCTGACCACCCCTGACAGCTGTCCTGTGAAACATGGGGAAGGCTGCATACCTGTCATCACAGCACCGCAAGGCTGTGGCAGGAGGAGCATCAAGAGTTCGAGGCCAGCCTGGGCTACAGGGCAAGACCGTACCTCAAAAAATAAAAATAAGATCCTGAAAAAAAAGTTGTGTCTAAAAAAAACGAAGAATGCACAGGTGTTAGCCAACTCTTTAAACAAAGGGCCAGACAGCAAATATTTAGGTCTAGGGTTGCTCTGACACGAGATGTGGAATAGAGGAGACTGTACATAAAGAGTGAGCCACGTATGCTGGGCACGCTGGTGATGCCTGTGATCCCAGCACTTGCAGCAGGAGTGCCCCGAGTTCGAGGCCAGCCTGGGCTACATAGGGAGACCCTGCATCAAAAGAACAAACAGAAAAAAGCAAAATGAAAGAAAAGATTTTAAAGTAGGTTAGAAAAGGTAAGCCAAGCATTGTGATGCCTGTCTGTAATTCCAGCTCGCTGGGAGGCTGAGGCAGGAGGATCACTGGTGCCCAGTTAAGACCAGCGTGGCAGCACAGCAAGGCCCCGCCGCAAAAAAAGAAAAGGTAGAATTTTTTTCTTTTTTGAGACTGGGTCTTGCTATTAGTTCAGGCTGCCCTTGAACTCACTGTGTAGCCCAGGCCGCCCTCGAACTCACCGCAGTCCTGCCGCAGCCTCCCGAGTGCTGGGATTACCAGTGTGCACCACCACGCCCGGCTAGAACAGTTAGAATGCCTGAGGTACCAGCACCCGCAGGTCTAGCATGGCTGCCGCCTGCACTGATTACACCTCTTCTGTGAGGGAGGACAAGCCGTGGAGTGGTGTTGAATCTTCTCACAAAGGCTCGGAGGAATACTGCAGCCCCTTGCTTAGCACTGGCTGCTAAAGTCAGCCACTCTGCCGCACCCCAGGGCATCAGCCCGATTACTTCTGTTTCTTCGCACCCACTGAGCACAGCCAAGTCCCCGTTTCCTCACTGACGTATTCATGGCACCTGGTGTCTCTGAATCTCGTGCGCGTGTGCATGTGTGTCTCAGTGCGTTTACATAGCACAAAATTCAATTATAAAAAAGATTTAAGTAGAGGCCAGTAGTGCATTCCTATGGTCTCAGGAGGCAGAGGCAGGAGGATCATGAGACTGAGGCCAGCCTGGGCTACTCACAGGGCCCTGTCTCTCCAAGTAAATAGTAAATAAAAAGGTCTGCAAGGAGCCAGGGATGTCGCTCCGTGGCACCGCCCCCCTCGAAAGCGCCAGGTCCCGAGTGAAGTCGACAGGCCTGGGGTGTGGTCACACGCGGCCCTGGGTTGGACCCCAGCCTTGGAAAAGCGAATGGGAAGGTCTGTGCTGTAACCTTCACATCGCTTGCTGCCTCGTCCAGCTGACAATCTGGCTTCTTTGTGACTAACGGGTAACATCTCAAGAAGGTTTTTACAAAGGAAAATTGCCTTAATCCTCCCTCCACCACTGGCTCCCTGGATCCTGGCCACACATAGATGGAGGTTGCACCGGGCCAGCCTTTAGGCTAAAGTTTATTATGGGGACGACGCAGACGCCAGTGGCAGGGATGGGCAGCGGGCCCCAGCAGTGTCTCGGGTCGGCCCATCCCCTGTGTCAGTTCCACCCCAGACTCCGGATTTGTGGCCGGGGTTCAGATCCACGCTGCAGCGTGCTCGCTGTTCACTGGCCTCGCTTCCCTGGCCTCTCCGAGCCCGACTGTCTGCGGTCACTGCACACACCATGATTGCAGGAAACAGGCACGAGATAGTCTACCTTCTTTTACACCGTGACACCTCTGCTTGGCGCACACCTAAAACCCGGGCCCCGCAAAGCGAGTCTGCGTGGATGCTTAGAGTGGGACAGGTCTCCTGGGTTGCCCGTCAAGGGCCAGCGGCCAGGGGAACCAAGCAGACCTGAGGGGGGAGAGGGGCTGCAGGCACGCCCTGGTACAGAGCAGGTTTCCAGGTTCCAGGCTGGTGAGCACATCAGGCACCTGGCCAGCTGCTCCTGAGTCGCCTCCTTTGTAATAAAGAGTAATCTAGTGAGGAGATGAAGAAACTCGTCTCAGGGTGGGCGGGAGCTCTGCAGCAGCGCCGTCGCCCAGCGTGCAGGGGCCTGGGCCCGACTCCAGTCCTGAAACAAGAGGAACAGTAAAGCTCTGCCTGGACCGGCCGGGCGGATCATGGGAAAAGAGGTTAAGTGAAAGGGCGAGCTCTGGGGGCTTGTGAGCTGCGGCTGTGCTGTGCAGGCCTTGTCCTCAGGCCGCGACCCCGCCTCGACCTGACCTGACGAGGTGCCCAGTCTGCCCACTCAGGACGAGCGAGCGAGCGAGGAGCCATCTGAGAGCCATCTGAGCCCGGCAGTGGCCGCCGTGTCCCTGAGGGTATTCATTCGTCCTCTGGGTATACAGTGACGTGTGACGCGTGAGAGTAGCAGGGGACGTTAGAGAACAGGGAGAGAGGATGGGAGAGGGAAGGGGAGGTACGGGGAGAAGGAGGCCACAGCGAGCTCTGCGTGCGACTCTCATAGCACTAGTAACCAATGTGTTGCCTCAGTTTCTCTTCCTGGGAGCCCTCACTCAGGGCAACTTGGATCTGTGTCCCAGGCTGCGGCCACTCAGGTTGGGCCCGGAAGAGGCTACTCCCTCTTTCCCTTGGAAGCAGCAGCACTGTCCTAACTGTCCTGAAGGAGAGGCCCCGCCCAGGGCCGGAGCGCCGGGAAGCAGCCTGTTTGTCTCTCGCTGTCCTGGCAGGAGGAGTGCGTTTAGGAGGCCGTCACACCCTCGGAAGCACGGGGACTCAAGTGCACGGGAGGGAAACCAGCTGGCCAGTGCTCAGGTGGAAACCTAAGAAGTCTTCTCCGGGATCTCAGAGAAGACCAGGAATACCGCTCGGGAGAAACTGGCTTCCTCCGCAGCGCCCAGAGCGGTGGACGTCATCACTGACGTGCCCGTAGAGTTCCCTGTGACCTATTGCTATATGTCATGGGAACTATAGACGATCAAGCATATGCTATGTAAAGTGCGATCAAAATATACAGTGAGGCCGGGCCAGGGATGTAGCTTAGTGGTTCCGCTGCCTGCTCTGCAAGGACAAGGACCTGAGTTTGATCCCCGGCACCAAAAAACCAAATATATATGTATATATGTGTATATATATGTATGTATATGCACGGTGAATGTATAAACTTTTGAAAGTGTATCACAGTGAAAGGTGTACTGCCACTGACTCTCCTGAACCCCTCCTCGCTCTACTCATGGCATCGACCTTCCCTCTTTTTTCTTTTGTTTTTTCTGTTGTTTTTTGAGACAGGGTCTCACTTTGTAGTTCAGGCTGACTTTGAACTTACTATGTAACGCAGGCTGACCTTGGACTCATGGCCATCTTTCTGGCTCAGCTTCCTGAGTGCTGGGATTACAGGTGTTTGACACCATTTCTGGCTCTTTTTTGTCACGTTCTGAGACGTTCTGCATGTCCTTTTTCCTGAATGTCTCCACAAGGTGTGATTAAAAAAATAGATAGATATGGTGAATGCCGCTGCTGAGTGCCATCCACTGGAGAGGCAGACTCATAAAAACATGACACTGTGGCCTTATCCACCTTTTTTGTTTGTTTTGTTTTTTGGTACTGGGTCTCTTATGTAGCCTAGGCTGGCCTTGAACTCACTGTGATCCTCCTGCCTCAGCCTCCCAAGTGCTGGGATTTTAAGCATGTGCCACCACATCCAGCTGCTCATCCACCTTATTCACCAGATTTGACACTGTGGCTTCTTCCAGCTCTTCCCCACAGTCAAAATGACGATGAAAGGGAAATACTTTGAATCGATTCAGGGCATTGAGGCAGCCAAGACAGCACAACTAAAGACACTTAGGAAAGAGGACTCCAGAGCTGCTGTATAAAGTGGCAAGAGCAGTGAGATAAAGTGGGGGTGTGGCGCACACCTGTGGTCCCAGCCCTGGGGAGGCTGAGGCAGAATGATGGATAAGTGTTCAAAGCGGGGGGTGGGGGTGGGGGTGGGGTGAGGAGGATGTGTGGCAGTGTGTCTTTTACTGCACGACACTGTGTGCTCTCAGCTACTGACAGATGATTCACACAGACACAGTCCCGTGTCTCACTGCTCGAGGGAGCCCCAGGCCTGTGCTCTGGAGCAGGCTAACTGTGGGGAGGAGCTGGAGTGGGCAGTTTTCTGCCTGGGTGCTCACGGCAAAGGACCCCAGGATCATGGGGTGTGGCTGCGACAGAGAAGCCGGTGGAGCTGGGTGACCCCAGCCGGGAGGACGAGAGAGAGGACTTGAGGAGCCTTAGAGGCAAAGTGCATCCATCTCCCCTTGAGATGCTCTGCCATGGTCCAGGCCTGGTCCCAAGCATGGCCAAGCAGAGCAGTCGCTGACAGTGCTGACGAGGGCTGGGGCTGCTCACCAGGGACAGGCTGGGGTGGGGAGACTGAGCCCTGGCAGTGACTCTGAAACCGCAAAGCAACAGAAAAGAAAACAAAGTCGAGTGCAGCTCAAACCACACAGATCCTCAGCAGAGTAAGGATTGCTCCATTCTGTCTGCCCACTCGAAGGGGTGGAAAAACATCTGAAACATCTACAGGCACTACAAGCTCCTCTCGCTTGCTTGCTTGCTTTTTCTTTCTTTTTGAGACTGAGTC